GGTTTCTACTCGACAATGATATTATGCTTATGTAAATTATTTAATGATTGTTATTGCTTTTCAATAATTACCTATTAAATAATTTTTCAAGCTTCAATCTTGATTATTTTATATCATAATTGACCAAAATTTTGCTATCAAGGGGCACTAAAGTATTGGTGTTAAATTTAGGTCAGATAATAACCATATTTGATGAGGGAGAGTGGGTGGATTTACACAAGATATGTTTGAATGATACAAAAAAATCAAATATTCTAATCACATATATTATCACTTAATAATTTTTCTTTCCAAATTGAAATTGATCTAATATAAAACTATTTTAATGAGATTACTCTCTCATCTTTATTTCATTAAGTAGTGGTACATAAATTATATTTTAATTCTTTAAAATATTATTATATCAAAACTTGATTATCTATATCACTAAACAAAATCTCTCTAATTATTTATTATTATTATCATTACAAAAGTTTATAATAGAAAAATGTGATGTGACATCAATGCACAGATTTTATTCATTCAAAATGCTATCAATTGATCTTATTTTACTCTGATTTACTTCTTATTAAGGAAATCATCGTAGTGTTCCCCTATATTTTAATTATCTTTATATCATATAATTATCAAATCTTAGATGATTTATGTTGATTTTAGTGTACAAAATCAAAGAGTAGCCTTTATATATATATATATATATATATATATATATATATATATATATATATATATATATATATATACTTTTTTTTTTTAAATGTGAAATAATATCTTAGTATATGAATGAAAGTTAAGAGTATTTTTTTTATTTCTCTATTTTATAAATGAAATGACAAGAATTATTATTTTATTTTTCAGATCATATGATAATTAATGGAAGAATTTAATATATTTTTCACTTTTACGAATAAGAAAATACTTATACAATTCAACACATTTTTTTTCAATATTTCAATTATGAGTCTTCTTTTTTAATTTTTCATAATATATGTCAAAGGCTACAAAATATTACTATGTGATAGTATGAAATAAAAAAGTAAAAACTATTAATTAAATTTAATATAATATTGTTAATATATATATATATATATATATATATATTATGATTAAATTGTAATTTACATCAAATATCACTAGCAATAATTTTCAACAATTATTAGAAGTATTTTGACCTATGTACATATCCTCAGATTTTTTTTTATTATTAACAATCAATTAAACATAAATTGTTTAAATTATTTTAAATTAATATAAATTAATTTTAATAAAAAAATATTTATAAAACAAATGCACAAATATTATTATAAGAAAAAAAGTATAATATTATTAATTTTTTTAATCTAGATTATAATAAAATATTTATTTATTATTTTTAATTATAATTATAATTCTAGTTCTAATTATTCCCAACATTTATATTACTATTTTTATTAAGCATGTCTATTATTCTCTCTATATATATATTCTTTATTTCACCAAATATATGGATAAATGAATTAAATAAATAATATATATAGATACTTGTGCATGTGTAAATATTTTAATTAACTGCAATTGGGAGAAAAAAAAGTGATGGGTGAAGATATTTTAACTAAACGTGATTGGGAGAAAAAAATATATTTGAATGTCAGCCAACTTTTATACAAGAGATTAATAATTAGGAAAACGGGTGAAAAATTCTTATTAGTAAAATATTTAAAAAAATATTAGAATATAAAATACTTAAATTTAATATAAATTAAGTAAAAAGTAATTATGAATTAATAAAAATAATACATATTAAAAATATAAAAAACTAATTGATAATTTTTAAATTTTAATGAAATTTAAGTTAATTTAAAATAAAATAAAAAACTTTAAATTAAAAAAATTGGAACTTAATAAAAACATATTTAATAATAAGACAGTATTCTTTCTTATCATAAAGATACTTTCTTAAATTAATAAATATATTAATTTTAATATATTAAAATACATCACTATATCAATTAATATAATTTATATTATATCATAATTATATATTTTATACAAATTATGAAAATTTAAATTTTAAATAATAAAAAATACATAAAAAATATTAATAATAAATGAAAATTTTGTTTAATAAAATATTTAGTTAACGAGAGAATATAAATATATAATAAAGTGTTGTTCTATTTATAATTTATGATATTTTCATCTCTAAGTAATAAATAATATTATTTATTTTCTTAAATAATTAGGTTTATTATTGATATTTAATGTTATTTTATATTTAATGACATTGATCTTTTATTATTATTTTTTATTTTGTATCATATAAATATATAAATTGGAATATGTATAGTTCAAAATTTAAGGATATTAAACATGAACAAACTTTATGTGAATAAATGTTGAATTATTTTGTTATTTACTGTAGGTGTGATTAAGTAGATGTAAACGATTTAAAGTTTTTAAATAATTACTTTTGTTGTGTTATGTTTGAGTCGAACTATGTGATATCAATATTACGTTAAGATTAAAGTATGTTAGATATAGAACTATTGTTGAAATGTGTCCAATTTATAATTATAGTCTATGTGTGTTTAATTTATAATTATTATTAATATGTATTTGATTAACTATATAATTAAGATGTATTCAATCTAAAGTTAAGATTGAGGTGAGTTTAATCTATAATTATTATCAAGGAGTGATGGATCTTGGGTTATGATTGAAACATGCTAGATCTAAAGATATGATCAATGAATGTTCAATCTAGAACTATTTCTAAGGTGCACTCTATATAGATTAGGAATAAGGTGTGTTTGACCTAGAACTATGACCAAGGTATGTTTGACATAGAACAACAATTAATGTGTGATTGACCTATAATTATGACTAATGTTTGTGTGTATTCATAACCAAAGCGTGTTCGGTTTAGAGTTATGATTGAGACATGTTAATCTAAAGTTATCTCTAAGATGTATTTGACTTAGAATTATAAGTAAGATGTGCTCGATTTAGAGTTATGACTAAAGTGTGTTTGTTCTTGTTTTATGATTGAGATGTTCTCTATTTAGAGTTATGATTAAAGCATGCTCAATCTAGAATTATCTTTTAGATGTAGTTGATCTAGAGTTATGATTAATGTGTGTTTGATCTATGATTATGATTGATATATGCTTAATCTAGAACTATGACTGAAATGTGCTCGATCGAGAGTTGTATTCAGGTATTCTAGATGTGGAGTTATAGTTGTTATGTGCTTGATTTAAAATTATTTTCAAGGTGTTTTTGATTTAGAATTATGTTGGATGTGTGTACCACTTAGAGCTACGATCATGGAGAAAAATGTTTATATACGTCGTCATTTCGAAAGAGATAAATTAAAGTCAACGAATGTTAAAAGATAAAATTGAAGATGGAATAGTAAAAAAATAATTTCTAAAAATTTATTAGAACAATTTTCAAAAGAAAGTGAATTATACTTTTGTTCCCTATATAAATATAAGATTTTTTTACCTTAAATATAGGATTTTTTTTAATATAAAAAAATTAATTAACAAATAATTAGTATGAATAACATATGCTCACAATATTTTTTTTAATTTATAGATAATGTACGTAATTTTACTTTATTTTAACAAAAATTATTTCTTTATTTTATTCAAATTATCTTTTATTTAGAAAAAACCATTACCTGGATAATGACCTATAACTAAACATAATTGATAAAGGATGATTTAACTAAAATCAACATATAAATATTTATTCTAACTTATAATAAAGCAAATTAACTTGCATTACCGAAACCATACCAACTTGCAGGTCATACATGCAAGGAGAAAAAAAAAAAAAAGAGGAGGAAAAAAAGAGTTTTTCAAACCTATTACTTCATTATTTTCCTTCGAAGATTTTGTGATAAATCCTTATACGTTAAAAAAACTTACATGTTCCATGTGATTTGGCACGAAGAAGGGAGTTATGGTGGGAGGTTATTCAATGTAAAGAAACCATGAGAAGAGATATATGATGTTTCTTCACCAACTTTGATTTTATAAATACATCTAATTTGAATAGGAAAGGGCAAAAGCAAAATAGTCTATAAGAAGAGGTGGAAGCAATCGATATTAATATCTAATGCAAAATTAATTAACTAACCTCTTATTAGGAGGAGGTGCACTTCATCGAACAGGGTAGAGAAATTTTATTAACTATTAGAAATGTGGTTGAATTACCAATGGAATTTATTTTAATGGAGATTATATCTAAGAACTTTAATAATGTCGTAGTGATTAGGAAGAAGAAGATGGATTGAAACGGTCTTAAACCATTCTACTTTTTAAATTATTGGAGATAAATGTCCTAAAGATGAAGATTTTTTAGACATATTCTACTGAGAAATTAAAGAATAGTTAAAGGTGTTAAATAAGAACATTGTAGTAGAATTGATCAAAATCTTGTCAAATTAGAAAACTGTAGCAGTTTGGACCTCACCTAGAAGGATCATGTGGTTCGTAGAAGGGAAGCTAAAATTTTAGAATACGTTGATTCTCCTTCTATTCCTTCACATATTTCAAGGATGAGAAGAAAAATCAACAAAAGTACTAAACCTACATTTTCTATTTCTTCATATTCCTTTTGAAACTACTGGGCAATACTTTAATTTTCCTAAGAATCCTATGCTTTACCCACAAAATAAAAATTAGATTTTTTTGTCAAAATCCACAAACAGAGCCACCCAAGCATGGAACCAGCGCCACAAATTCCCACGTACGGCAATCACAATCAGGAACCTCAGGGGGTCCAATAACAGAGTCCACGTCAGGACCTCCAGATAAACATAATGATAAGTCCAACCCTAATTTCCACCATCAGATGGATACTCTCCAAGATCCAACGTCTCCAAATCCCCACTCACGGATTATCCAATCTCCCACCTCTTGTCAAATATATCTCCCATCCCTCTCTCTCACACCAACCACTAACTCTCTCAAACACACCTCGCTCACCGCAGCGCACGTTAGCACAAACCCATGGCCACAGCAACGGCAACGGCAGCAACGTCCTCCTTCATGGGGACGCGCCTCCTGGACGCGCATTCCGCCTCGGGGAGGGTCCAGGCTCGCTTCGGGTTCGGCTCCAAGAAGAAGGTGGCGCCCAAGAAGGTGTCGAAGGGCTCCGGCTCGGGCTCCGACAGGCCGCTGTGGTACCCCGGCGCGAAGGCCCCCGAGTGGCTTGACGGGAGCCTGGTCGGGGACTACGGGTTCGACCCCTTCGGGCTCGGGAAGCCCGCGGAGTATTTGCAGTTTGAGCTGGACTCCCTGGACCAGAACCTGGCGAAGAACGAGGCCGGGGTCATCATCGGCACGAGGACTGAGACTGCTGACGTGAAGTCCACGCCGTTCCAACCCTACAGCGAGGTCTTCGGACTCCAGAGGTTCCGCGAGTGCGAGCTCATCCACGGACGCTGGGCCATGCTCGCCACGCTCGGGGCCCTCACTGTCGAGTGGCTCACCGGTGTCACGTGGCAGGACGCCGGCAAGGTAAGGTTCTCTGCTGTTGCTTTTAAGATGATCTTCAGGCAGAAAATAAAATTAGCTTGAGAAAAATTTCTTATGTCTTTTTTTTTTTTTCTTGAAGTTCCTGGAAAAACTTATACAGTCAACTTTTACACTGGTTAAATTTAGTTTATGCAAAACATCATTTCAAATTTTCTTAATATTTTTTCGCTTCAAAATGTTCATGGACAAGTTTATCTAAACATAAACATGTTCCTACTTAGGTTGGATGCATAAATCACGGGACCTAATTCTTTGTAGGTCTAGAACATTTATCATTTGTTGTGTTTCGTGTGAATTATTTTAGTTTAAGAGTTATGCATGAGATCTGATGAATAAGGAAAGAGATTCGTGTGGTTTGTAAAATCTACATGAATTTCGATATGTAGAAAACAAGAAATCGAAGGTTAATATTGATAGAATTGTTAGGATGTTATGATTCATTTCACTAACAAGTTGAAAGATCAAAGTTAGCAAAAAAGATAGAATTGTGTTTTCTTTCTTGTGATGTATAGACACGGGTATATTAATTAACTATGAACATGTGGTTTGATTTTAAGGTGGAGCTAGTAGAAGGGTCATCATACCTTGGGCAGCCACTTCCATTCTCAATCACCACTTTGATTTGGATCGAGGTTCTGCTCATTGGGTACATAGAGTTTCAGAGGAACGGAGAACTTGACCCAGAAAAAAGGTTGTACCCAGGTGGCAGCTTCTTCGATCCTCTTGGTTTGGCCTCAGACCCAGAGAAGAAAGCCACTCTTCAATTGGCAGAGATCAAGCACGCTCGTCTGGCCATGGTGGGCTTCTTGGGCTTTGCAGTCCAAGCTGCTGCCACTGGCAAGGGCCCACTTAACAACTGGGCTACCCACTTGAGTGACCCTCTTCACACAACCATCATTGACACCTTCTCATCATCCTCTTAAGAAAAAGTCTTGTGCTTCGTAGATATATTGTAAAAGTCTTTCGGCTTTGGGTTGTAATTAATCAAACATTTCACAGATGGATTAGAACTTGTGAAACTGGTATCTTGAATTGGAGAGGCTTAGCAGAATGCTTCTGCTTGATCATAAAGGTTCTTCTCCTGTGAATGTTAATTAAGCACAAAACGGAGGACGAAAAATACTGATAAAATTCAGATCACATGAAAGGTAATGGCAGGATATTGCATTGAGATCCATTTAACAGCAACCTTACAACATTTATTGCATTTTGATTAGCCTAACGAGTGCTTATAAGTCATATTGATTTCGTTGTAGTAGTTGATTTCATAAACAGTGTTTTTTATTTTTTCTATTTTCAAATTCAGATATTCAAAATCTCACCTAGTTACGACGTATTTTACATTTTATTCTAGGATTAGCTTGAATGATGAAAATATGACAGGAATATTTCAATTAGTTTATGTCTTTTGTGTTAGTTGAAATATCGGTTTGGTTTTTATTAATAATATTAAGTAAACGGGGAGCTTAAAGCGTTTTTTTAAGATGGAACATGGAGTAGTTTTTAAAATATTAATTTCTAATTTTTAAAACATATTCTTATTTTATTTTTAAATTATTTATAAATTTATTTTCATTTTTTTATATAATGTATGGTTTTATTATTATTTTTTCTTTATTTATTCATATGACATGTATTATAATATATTTGTGTCATTACTGTGAAATTGAACCTAGTGATGGAAGAATAATAATGTTTTAGAGTTTGGGCAAGAAAACGATGAATCTGAAATAATTCTCTGCCTCTATACAGGCATAGAAGATCTTCAACTTCAATAGAAATAAAATTCAATGACTCAATTTAAAGTAATCCTTCAGCAAATGGAGATATTTTACTGCACTATTGATATAATAATGATTTTTAATTTAAAAAAATATCTAAAAAGAAATACTAATAAAATAAAATTATATTATTGTTATGGTATGTGTTATGTTAGTAGAGTCTTTTGTGTAAGTTTAAAGATGTAATTAGTATATACTGATTTTTAATGTTTTCACGGAACTTTTATTTAATAATATGATTTTTTTATAGAGAATCTTCTTGATATTTATGTATATTTCTGGTTTAAATCCTTTCTCTTATTCTTTCTAATATTACATTTTTACATTACATTGATGGGCTGAAAATAATATTTTCTTTTTCTACCGACAAATATAATATATTTAAATATCCTTATTGAAATTTATATTTATACTTATATTATTATTATAAAAAAAATAATGTCTCAAATTAATACTTCTTCTTACACTAAGATATAACACTATTTAATAAAATTATTAATATTGAAACTTGTATCATCTTATTTTATTTCTATATCATAATGTTAAATTATGTCATAGTAACACGTTCATAAATTATATTATTTTACTTACGAAGGATAATTAAGATAATATTGATTATGTCAAGCTAAGTTTATAAATTATACATTCTATTCATGACAATCTTGAATTACAATATTTATTGACTTCTCATAATTAACTTAAACATTGCGTTTTATTTTTATTTTTTATGTATGAACTAATGCTCGATGAGATGGTTGTGATCATGAACTACTCTCTTGTTTTTTTTGTTTTTTTAATAAGAATATTCTAGATGTCTTCATTAAATACTTTTATGGTAAATTTTGTAACATTAAAAAAATATTACATCCTATATGCTTGAATAGGTATGGTATATTTTTTAATTTTTTTTATAATATATGATATGTATCATTGGATTATCCTTTATAATATATATATATATATATATATATATATATATATATATTATTTTGATAATATATTTTTATATTTATTATTTATATAAAATTTAAATAGTTTGATTTAAGATTATTAATTTAGACAGGTTTAATATACATATTAAATATTTTATAATTTAATTATATTTATGAGTGTAGTGTATATTTCTATCAAACAAGTTTTTTTAATATAATTAAAATAATAATGCATCTCTTTCAATGTTCGATAAAACTCGATCTGAAGAAGAATGAGGCTATAAAGAACATCTGATTCTAACAAAATAACTGTATTTATATTATTAACAACAATCATGTTAAAAAACATACCAATTTTCCACTACATACATAAAATAATACAATCTACATGCTTTAATAATTTATTGTTGATACAGCAAATATTTTTGTCATCAACTCTATGTGAAATTTGATGAAAAAAAAAAAACAGAAGATTAACTTTACGGTGTAACAGAGACGACAAAATCATTTTAAAGTTAGTTACGTGAATTTGCAGCCACATTGTTAGAAGTCATTACATGTGAAGAGGGTAATTGTAGAATGTTTTATAAAGATTATGTTTTCAAGAGTTAATATTTTTTACAGGGAATGTCTTAGTAATTTGGAAAAGTTTTAATTCGAGAATGTCTTCATTAAATTAGTAAATTAGATGAGTTTATGATGTATTTGGATCATTCTAACTTCACAAGATTTCATATATCCTTTTGAAATTATAATTTTCTTAAATAATTGCATACAAGTAATACAACTTTTTTGACTTGATCAGTAATATTTTAATTTTGTGTTGTTATTTTTATTAAATTTTATTATTTAGTCATGTATAATTTTAATATCAATAAATTATATTAAAAAATCATATTAATCATATATAGTCTCAAATTTATCTTTAAATTTTAAAAGTTGACTCTAGTAGATTTGTTACCTTGATAAAGATAAAAAATTCATCCCAATTCTTTTTATAATATTTTTTTATTATTTTACCTCATATCTAACAAAACCACTCAGAACTTAGTCCCTCATGATATTTTAAGGTCTTGTTTGATTGAATTTTATTTTTTGAAAATAATTTTAAAAAATAATTTTAAAAAATTGATTTTGAAAATAATTTTTTTAATAATTTTATTTTTGAAAGTATATACAAAAAAATAATATAAAAAATCCTGATAAAAATTGAAAAATAATTTTAATATCGATGTAGATATAAAAATAATAATAATTAAAATCATTCATTAATAAAAATAGAAAAAAAGAACATCTTTGGTAAATTTGCTTTTTAAGTTTTTAAAAATTTAAAAATAAAAATAATTTTATGAACTAAACAAATTTTAAATTTTTAAATTAAAAATAAGAAACTATTTTACAAAGACAATAAACCAACAAATCCTACATATT